TCTAGCAAGACCCCAATCTTAAATCAATAAGCTGAGCATGATGTAGTAGTAAATCTAATCATTAAAATGGCAGCAGTAACAGCTGGGACCCTTGGCACTATATAATCCTAGCTACTCTAGAAGCCAAGATATGAAGATCACAGTTGGAAGCTGACCAGAGCAAATAAACCCAAGAGACTTATTTCCAATTAGTCTCCAAAAAGCCAACCAAGAATTTGAGGCTAAGTTCAAGCCCCCATAACAGCCCCAAAAATGTAATGGTAACAACAAAATGTTCTTACCTCTAAACTTCTCAATTTTACTTTGTCATTCAAGTCATACCTTGGAATGGGATCATTTTATGGTTAGCAAAGCACAGGAAATTCCAAACACGGTTGGTATATGATAATGTTTATTCTAAACAATAGTATATAGAACATATTTACAAATAGTCTCATGTAGCATTCAAATATTTAAAATTTAGAGTGTTGACTTGCCAGTTTACAGAGTATAAGGAAAGAGAGCAATTATTGTTACCTTAACTTTATGAAATGAGAATTTTAGCGCTTTTTTTTTTTCCCCTTTGGTTGTGGGGCCTGAACTCTGGGCCTGGGCACTGTCCCTCAGCTCTTCAGCTCAAGGCTAGTACTTTACAACTTGAACACAGCACCCACTTCTGGATTTTTCTGTTTGTATGGTGCTGAGGAATCGAACCCAGGGCCTTGTGCATGTAAGGCAAACACTCCACCACTGAGCCACCTTCCCAGCTCCCAGCACTTTCTTTACATTGAGTCAAATGCCCTTAAATGTATTTTCTATCATTTTAGTACATTCACTAGAGAAAAAAATAGGGTTTGCATTTATTATTGTATTTACTACCTTTCCTTCAGCTAAAATAATGCCATCATAATTATAGATTATAAATGTTATGGATTAATTAATTAGTCTAAACTAGACTAAATATAAATCCCTATACCAACACACTAAAGTATTTAGTTTAACAGGGTCTGTTAGGTATCTAGTCACCACTGCCTTCTATCTTTTTCTTTTCTAAATTCATTCTGCCCTAGTCATCACTTATCACTCACATTTTATTCCATCAAACATTTCTCAGGATCAATGGACTTGAATAATCGTTAAGCCTGAGTAGACCTTCCCAAGGTACTACTAATCTCACCTTATTTGGTTAATACTAGAATGTCCCATACAGATCCAAAAGTGGTTTATTTCTTTAAAATGAAAGATAAAGGTATTGACTAAGGTTAACCATTTAGTGAAAATATATCAAAAACTCTTATCCTTATGTTCACTAACTGGATCCTAATAAGCTACCACTTTTGTCACTAAGGCTTACAGATTATTTAAAAAATCAAAATGCCTTCCCATAACTTGACGTTCCTTTGCAAATACCTGACAATTCAACTACATCATCTCTCTCCACAGAAAAATCCAAACAAGAGGTAGTTAGGATTTTTAGACCTTGAATATGGTGTGTGAAACTTCTAGGACATACTTAAGTTATAAATCTGTGACATAGAAGTATATCAATGGAAGTACATCATAAAATTAACTGGTTACTGCTTCAAGTCAAATTCTTTTGCATCAAGGCTCTTATTCAAAGTATTTTCTGTAAAAAGGAAGGAATAAACATTACAAAGAAAACTAGCAAAGATTCATAGTAGCAGATTCCTTAATTTAAAAAAGGTTTACATTGCAATTACTCTAAAACTTTTTTTTAAAAAAGTTTTCTCACATAAGTACCTCTTATTCAGACAACTTTTTAAAATACCAGCATCTAATTATCATGGGCAAATCAAAATGATATGGAATGAGTCTGAATTAACAAATCCAAATCTGTCCTAGTATGAGTTACTTAAACTCATAAGGATGTTCAAACATAAAAGTGAAAAAAATTCTAATTCAATGTATATGCCACTTGTTTTGATAATACTGTCATAGGCTGAACTGTGTCTTCCTTAAAGGTATGTTTTGAATTCTAACCCTAGTACCTCAGAATATAACATCATTTAGATAGCCATAGAGAAACAATCAGCTACAGTTAGTTTATCACTGAGGTAGGGTAGGCCCTTAATTAACTAGTATTAACAAGTATCCTTATAAGAAGAGACAAAGCCGGGTGTCAGTGACTCAAACTTGTAATCCTAGCTACTGAAGAAGCTGAGATCTGAGAATCGTGGTTCAATGCCAGCCCAGGCAGGAAAGTCCACAAGACTCTTAGCTCTAATTAACTACCAGAAACCAGAAATATCACTAAGGCTCAAATGGTAGAGCACTATCCTTGAGCAAAAGAGCTCAGTGACAGTACCCAGGCCCTGAGTTCAAGCCCTAGAACCAATAGAAAGGGAAAAAAATCCATGTGAAAATAAACACAAAGACTAAAATTAGGGTCTCCCAGAGGCTGGAAGGAGCAAAGAAGGAGCCACTAGTGGTTTCAGAGTTATCGATGTGAACCAGCCAACACCTCAATTTTGCATTTCTAGTCTTTAGAACTTTTTTCTCTGGTGCCAATACTAGGGCTTAAACTCCACCCCTAGGCGCTGCCCCTTAGCTTTTTCATTCAAGGCTGGTGTTCTCCCACTTGAGCCACAGACATGTTTCTAACTTTTTGGTTATTAATTGGAAAAAAAGAGTCTCACGGACAGGGCTGGGAAGGTGGCTCAGTGGTAAAGTGCTTGGCTTGCATGCATGAGAGCCTGGGTTCGATTCCTCAGTACCACATAAGCAAAAAAAAGCTGGAAGTGGTGCTGTTGCTCACGTGGTAGAGCGTTAGCCTTGAGCTGAAGAGCTGAGGGACAGTGCCCAGGCCCAGAGTTCAGGCCCCATGACTGGCAAAAAAAAAAGTCTCACTGACTTTCCTACCCAGGCTGGCTTTGAACCACAATCCTTAGCCTCCTGAATTTAAAAAGGTGTGAGCAACCAGCACCCACAGACAATAAATTTCAATACATCTGTTGGTTCTATTTTGTTATGACAACCTAAGAAACGAATACACTGACCCACCTGGCATTGTTTCTACTCCCCATTTCCATCACCAAATAGACCTCAAAGCAAATCCCAGATATACTACCACAAAAATGCTAAAGTAGTGGGGGGAGGGGGTACAGGTGGCTCACACCTGTAAAAAAAAAAGAAAGAAAAAAGAAAAAAAAAGAAGCTCAGGGACAGAGAGCCTTAACTGAGTTTAAACACACACACACACACACACACACACACACACACACACACACACACACACACACACACACACACACACACACACACACACACACACACACACACACACGGAAGCAGTGTTTATCAATTTTCTTTTTTACTTTTTTATAGGAATCTCATGCATTTTGGTAGTGGCCCGAGTCACAGACTGTGATACTCTGATCTATGCCTCCCAGGTAATAGGATTAAAAACATGGTCCCAGGGCTGGAGGGTTTAGCCCAGCGGAAGGGCACCCACCCGGCACGCAAGGCCCTGGGTTCGGTCCTCAGCCCTGAAAATAAAAAACATGGTCCCAACTACACCTGGCTTATTTTGTTGAGAACTGACTGGCCTCATTTTTGCCCAGACTGGCCTTAATCAACATCATCTTCCCAATCTCTACCTCCCAGTAGCTAGCCCAACCCTGTGTTTCTCAATTTTTTTTTTTTTGGGGGGGGGGGGGGGACGGGGGGGCCGGTCGTGGGGCTTGAACTCTGGACTTGGGCGCTGTCCCTGCACTCTTCAGCTCAAGGCGAGTGCTCTACCAACTTGAGCCACAGCGCCACTTCTGGTTTTCTAGTGGTTTATTGAAGATTTTCACAGACTTTCCTGCCCGGGCTGGCTTTGAACCATGATCCTCAGATCTCAGACTCCTGAGTAGCTAGGATTCCAGGTGTGAGCCACTGGCACTCGGCTATGTTTCTGTTTTGTTTTTTTTTGGGGGGGTGGGGGGGAGTTCAGTCATGGGGCCTGAACTCTGGGCCTGGGCGCTGTCCCTCAGCTCTTCAGCTCAAGGCTAGCGCTCTACCACTTGAGCCACAGCACCACTTCCAGCTTTTTTCTTTTTGCTTATGTGGTACTGAGGAATCTAACCCAGGGCCTCAGGCATGCAAGGCAAGTGCTCTACCACTGAGCCAACTTCCCAGCCCTGTTTCTCAATTTTTTAAAATCACTTTCCATTAGACAAAAAGATTCTGATATGATTTACTTTCAGTAGTTTACACTACAAAAGCAGTTAAGTTTGGGGGTTTGGGATTGTTTTTTGTTTCTGCTTCTGGCTCAAACTACACACACATATTCTGACAGTAACCATAAAATGAGGGTTCAAGCATCTCACCTTTGAAGAAATAAGGAATATGTTTTGTCACAGTAACAACCCAGATCATGGACTGGAAGCAGTTCAGGCAGTAAAATAACCAAATTCAATTCCTAGTACTACCCAAAAGAAAACAAAAACCAGCAACAAGATCATGCCAACAGATTTTGTTTTTGTTTTTGGTAGTCCTGCTGTTTGAACCAGGGCCTCATTGCCAAGCAGGTGCTCTACTACTAGAGCCATATCACCAGATTTAATCCTTTGGCTTTCTTAATTTATTTTTCAGATAGGATCTCATACTAACTACCTGAGCTGGCCTCAAATTGTGACCTTCCTGTCTGTGTTACATTGTGAGAATTCAGCAAGCTAAAGGTTGAGGCAAGATGACTGAGAGTTGAGAACAGCCAAGTTTATATTATAGAGTCTGAATTATAGAGTGAAACCCTGACTTAAAAATTTTTTTTTTTCTTTAGATAGCCAAGCACTGGTGGCTTACACCTGTAATCCTAGCTATTCAGGAGGCTGAGATCTGAAGATGGTGGTTCGAAGCTAGCCCGGGCAGAAAAGTCCCCATGAGACTCTTATCTCCAATTAACCACTCAAAAACTGGAAGTGGCACTGTGGCTCAAGTGGTAGAGTACTAACCTCCAGCACAAAGAGGTTAGAAAAAATTTCAACAAGTGAATATGTACAGGGCTAGTTAAATCTTACCTTTAAATTAGAAGTTATCCAAGACTAAATGGTACTGTGTTCCTCAACTTTTGCTCCACCAGAAAAAGCTTCTGGTGATAGAGACTGCTTTCTTTCATCAAAAGACATAGATAAAGATGGCTTTGTATAGTCAGTTAGCAAATGATGAGTATCCAAAGAGTTTAGCATATTATCTGCTTGTATGTCTTTTGATACAGGGAACAATTCTAGTTTCTGTCTTTCAAGTGTTTCAGGATTAGAGAGGTGAGAGTCTTCTCTTATTTTGGAAAGAGATTTCTTCAGAACCTCAAATTTACTTCGAATAGTCTGTAAATTGAAATCTGATTCTGGAGTAGTCTGTCTTTTTCCCACAGTATCTGGTAAAATGCTACTGGGAGTAGTCTGTCTTTTTCCCACAGTATCTGGTAAAATGCCACTGTACACAGGACTATCTGGTTCCAGCTTAAAATTGATCTCAGAACTCCTAGAGCTGTTAAGACTTAGGCGACCAACTTCTGGAAGAGTCTCATTTAAAATGCTATAGTCCATATCCTGAAGACTTTTAAAATTAACTCGACTTGATATCTGAAAAGAGTTCCATGGCATAGTTTTATGCACAGAAGGTTCAATATAAGAAGCTTGTGAGTGATCTAATATTTTAATATGTCCCCCTTTACTCCCATCCCTCCTATCTGTTTTACTGCCTACAACAGGGGAGAATGTCTCTGTTTGGCTAGTTTCTCTACTGCCTACACCAGGGAAGAACGTCTGTGTTTGGCTAGTTTCTAAGACCTTGGTTAGTAAAGCTGTATTCTCTAAATCTTGCTTATAAATTATTTTCTTCTTTAGCAAATCTGACTGATCTTCTGTTGAGGGTTCACCTATATGACTGGTCACATGTTTTTGAGGCATGCTCCTGAGGCAATCTGAAACAACTTCCTCTTCAGGAAAATGAGATTGGTCAAAATCGGAGAAAAAAATGTCCATGCTAAATTCCCTTTGATTACACAATGCAGGTGAAGAGTCTGACAGTACTTCTGTATGTTCATTATCCATCTGAATTGGTTGTGCACTTCTGTTATCTTCAACTTCAATAGCTTTTCTCCATGAGCTCCTAATCTCAGTTACTAATTAAAAAGAAAAAAAAATTTACTAATATCTCCATGGAAATTAAACATGATAAGACATTTTATTTCTAATAGTGAAAAGTAAAGCCACATAAATAACAAGGCTCCACAATATAACGAACCTCAACATTAGAAAACTCCACCTCAATTATCAAATAAAGGTAAAGGCATATAACAAAAACTGTTCCTAAAGTTTATATATACTTTCATACAACAAATACAAGTTATATACACTAAAAAGACATTTTTGGTTAGGTGCCAAGTAGCTCACACATATAATCCTAGCTACTCAGAAAACTGAAATCTGAGGATGACCATTCAAAGCCAACCAGGACAGGAAATTCCATGAAACTCCAATTACCCAGCAAAAAGCCAAAGCACAGCTGTGGCTTGAGTGGTAGAATGCCAGTCTTGAACAAAAAGGCTGCAGGAGAGCACCCAGGATCTGAATTCAAGGACCACCACCACCAGCACAAATGTAAGAAAGACTGGAAGTGATGCTGTGGCTCAAAGTGGTAGCCTTAGGCAAAAGCACTCAGGGATGGCACCCAGGCCCCAAGTTCAAAACCAACAACCAACAAAAAATAAATAAATAAAACATTTTCTTGTCAACTTAGGAAACTGCAGCCACTTGATCTGTCACAACTATTCAACTCTGCCATTATAGCTTGAAAATAGCTAGAAACAATGTCATCTATTAACAAGGTTGTGTTCAGTGTTATTTTATTGACAACACAAGCAGGAGTAGTTTTAGCTCACATGATATAGTTTGCTGACAGCTAATCTAGACTTGCTTATTTTAGCCTGAAGTAAAACAGTAGCAAAAGAGAAAAGTTCAATCTATATTGATTACACAAGGAAACCAATATCAGGATATTGCCTATATGAACTCTTGGTCATAGAAGAAAAAATACATTGCACACTATTTGCAGAAGAATAAATATCTATGCACACATAATACTTCTCATTAATACTTCTAGTTAGTAACTGGAAGAATACAACCTCCAGGCAAACCACAGACAAGACCAGAAAGTCAGACAGACTTAAGGGATCAAAACACTGAAAAATGAAAATTGCAGTTTGGAATCAGCCCAGGCAGACAAATCTCTGAGACTCTGATATCCAATTAACCAGCAAAAAGCTAGAAGTGGCATGGCTCAAACATTTTTTTAAAAAAAGTTCCAAAAGATCTGACACATAGATCTAATAGTGTGGTAATGTATAAGGAAGAGAAAACAAGATAGGGAAGATTATTAACTTACTCAAGTTTTCTGGAGTTCGGGGAATTTGATTTCTTGTTAAGAAGGGGTTAGAAACTAGAGAGTCAATTAGTTCCTCTAATTTTATTTCTTTTCCTTCTGGAAGCTGTGGTGAATCAGATAAAACTACCCTGGCAACCTGAAACAGAAAAAAAAAGGAAAAATTAACAAGCCAACTGGTAGAATATAACAAAACTATTAAGAATATGATCTTTATAGCAGATCCTCTAATAGCAGGGAGCTATTTATAGATTATCTAGATGTAATCCTGTAAAGTAAAATGTAACAAAAAAACTATTTTCTATTTTATCTTAAATGGATAGTCCATGATAAAGAAAATAACAGATAAGCGAGACACCTGTGGCTCATGCCTGTAATCCCAACTACTCAGGAGGGTGAGATCCGAGGATCACAGTTCGAAGCCAGCCTAAGCAAGAAACCCTATGAGACTCTTCTAACAAACTACTCAAAAAAGCCAGAAGTGGCACAATGGCTCAAGTGACAGAGAACAGTACAGTGCCCAGGCCCAGAGTTCAAACCTCAGGACCAGCAAAAAAATAATAATGGTTAAGAATCATTATACTTGGAAAGATTCAGGGGTACTTCCTAAAGTGATCTAAGCTATCTGCCATACCTCTGGGTTTTATCTATTTCCACTAAAGTGACTTTTGAGCTCTTTTAGCTCAAGGCTACCGCTCTACCACTTTTGAGCCACAGCTCCAAATCTGGTTTTCTGGTGGTTAATTGGAGGTAAAAATCTCACAGACTTGTCCTGCCTGGGCTGGCTTTGAACCACAATCCGCAGCTCTCAGCCTCCTGAGTAACTAAGATTACAGGCACCACTAGTGCCCGGTTAAAATGATAACTTTTAAGCAAGCAGATTAATTTTATAGTACATTTTCAGAATAACATCTCTATTAACAGAATACATTCTGATATATTTCTTTGCCAAAAAACCTCATTATGTGACACAGTGAACAAGGAATAGGAATACATTCAAAAAGAAAAAAAAAATGTGATATGAAAAATAGCACTATTAACTAACTGAATCAGCAAAAGTAGAAAAAAATAACAAATTAAAATCTCTGCCCCTTGAGATTAAAAAAATAAACTTCCTAAAGCTATAATCAAACTGGCCCAAGAAAGCACAAAGTTTCTTAGAACTAAACACTAAATGTCCCATCTTTTTAAACTTTTTTTTCATTATTATAAAAATGTTGTACAGAGGGGTTATAGTTACTTGAGTAGGGTAATGAGTACATTTCATAGCGAGCATTGTTACCTCCTCCTTTATTTTCCCCCTACCATCACTTCCCTCCCCACCTCCCCAACTCCTCCTGCACCACCCAACCCTGACATTGTAAAGTTTGTTTTCAATATAGTGTCCTGTACATCTCGTTGTCACAATGGATCAGCCTGCATTCCCATTTAAACATTCTGAAATATCCCTTTCCCTCCCCAAATTACAAAAAGGTACAGAACACCGCATCAAATCCAGTGAAAACAGGGGTTATACCATGGGAAGAGAACATACAATAGAAACAAAAGAATCACATAGTGTATTGTAAGTACATTAAAAACACTAGAAGAGAAAAAAAAAAACTCGTGTCCCTGCCTAATGTACCATTATCTCATGTGGTCGTATGTACAAAGCTTTTGACCTACTCTTGCTTGTCCTAGACATGTACTTACTAGTCACTGCAAACAAGGGAAACCATGGGACCCATGTTTCTTTAGGCCTGAATTACTTCATTTAATATGATATTTTCCAAGTTACTTGAGCTGATGGGAAACTTTGGCAAAGCAGCAGGGTACAAAATTAACCCTCAGAAATCAATGGCTTTCCTGTATGCCAATAATAAGAAGAGCACGGCTGAAATTAGGAAAGAAAACCCTTTTGTAATAGCCCCACAAAAAATAAAATACTTGGGAGTTAACAAGAGGTGAAGGACCTGTATGACAAAAACCTTAAAAACCTGAAAATGGAAATCAAAGGAGAACTAAGCAAGTGGAAAAAAGCTTCCATGCTCCTAGATTGGGAGGATTAACATCGTGAAAATGGAAACACTACCAAAGGCTATCTACAAATTCAATTCCATACCTTATCAACATTCCAACCTCATTCTTCAATGAAATAGAAGCAATCCAAAATTTCATATGGAACAATAAAGGACCCCGAATAGCAAAAACAATCCTTAGTAGAAAGAACAGTGCTGGAGGAATATCAATTCCAAACTTCAAACTCTACTACAAAGCCATAGTAATCAAAACAGCTTGGTACTGGCACAAGAACAGACCTGAGGACCAATGGAATAGGACTGAAGACCCGAAAGGTAGCCACAAACTCATAGGCACCTAATCTTTGACAAGGGAGCTAAATAAATAGAATGGATAGCTGGGCGCAGGTGGCTCACGCCTATAATCCTAGCTACTCAGGGGGCTGAGATCTGAGGATCATGGTTCAAAAGCTAGGCCGGGCAGGAAACTCCGTGAGACTCTTATCTCCAATAAATCACTAGAAAACCAGAAGTGGTTCTGTGGCTCAAGTGATAGAGTGCTCACCTTGAGCTGAAGAGTGCACGGACAGTGCCCAAGCCCAGAGTTCAAGCCCCACGACCTACAAGAGAAGAGAAGAGAAGAGAAGAGAAGAGAAGAGAAGAGAAGAGAAGAGAAGAGAAGAGAAGAGAAGAGAAGAGAAGAGAAGAGAAGAGAAGAGAAGAGAAGAGAAGAGAAGAGAAGACAGCCTTTTCAGTAAATGGTACTGGCAAAATTGGTTAAACACTTGTAGAAAACTAAAACTAGATCCGTATATATCACCCTGCACCAGAATCAACTCCAAATGGATGAAAGACCTCAAAATAAAAGCAGACTCCATGAAAATATTACAGGAAGGAATAGGAGAAACTCTAGGGCTCCTTGGCACAAGCTGAAATTTTCTGAATAGAGACCTAGAAGCACAACTAATCAAACGAAGATTGGACAAATTGGATTGCATGAAACTGCAGAGCTTCTGCATGGCAAAGGACTTAGCTAGCCAGAAAGCCCACAGACTGGGAGATCTTCACTAGCCATACAATGGACAAGGGCCTCATATTTAAAATATACTTGGAACTCAAAAAATTAAATCCCCAACAACAAATCCTCAAAGAAACAACTGCCCGATTAACAAATGGGCTAAAGACTTAGAGAGAGACTTCTCTAAAGAGGAAATAAGAATGGCCAATAGACACATGAAGAAATGCTCAAACTCTCTAGTCATAAAAGAAATGCAAATCAAGACAATGCTGAGATTCCCCAGTTAGAATGGCTATAATCAAGAAATCTAATAACAACAGATACTGGAGGGGATGTGGCCAAAAGGGAACCCTACTGCATTGTTGGTGAGAATGTAAAGTTGTTCAACCACTCTGGAAAGCAGTATAGAGGTTCCTCAAAAGACTCCACATAGAGCTCCCCTATGACCCAGCAGTCCCACTTTTGGGCATTTACCCAAATGATCACAAACAAGACCATATTAAAGCTACCAGCACAACCATGTTTATCGCAGAATTATTTACCATAGCTAAGATATGGAACCAACTCAGATGCTCCTCAGTAGATGAATGGATCAAGAAAATGTGATATATATATACACACAATGGAATTCTATGCGTCCGTCATACATATATACATATATATATATATGTATATGTACATATATATATATATACACACACACACACACAATGGAATTCCATTGCCTCTTAGGAAATGGAAAGACTTGGAATAAATGCCCCATTTTAAACACATTAATAAAATGTAACTTCACTTTACTTTGTTTTATGAGAGAGTAGGATGTTCCTCTTCTCTCCTATCATGTTCTACTAATTTAAACCCTACCAACCAGAAAATGTAACTTGCTTTCCACAGTTAGGGAGGGGAAAAAAAAGACATCTTTTCTGTAATGTGGTCAATAAAGATATTAGGACTTTGGAGACTCAGAAGTATTTAGAAACCCTACAACTGGGCTGGGAAGTTGGCTCAGTGGTAGAGTGAGTGCCTCGCATGCATGAGCCCTGGTTTCAATTCCTCAGCCACATAAGCAGAAAAAGCCGGAAGTGGCGCTGTAGCTCAAGTGGTAGAGCGCCTGCTCGCCTTGAGCTGAAAAGCTGAGGGACAGTGCCCAGACCCAGAGTTCAAGCCCCCACAACTGACAAAAAAAAAGAAACCATACAACTGACCAGCATATTACAAACAAGAAAAATGAGCGGCATTTAGTTGTCTTTCATGTAAACAATGCTCATTTAGTTTAATCACAGTCAGTATAAAGGAGGAAACTCCAAAACCTAGATTCATGTGCACTAAACCCAAATATGCTTTATATCATTCTGAAATAAAAAAAAATAACCAGTGGCCCAATGCCTATAATTCTAGCTACTTAGGAAACTGAAATCTGAGAATCATGGTTTGAAGCCAGCCTCAGTCTGTAAGACCTCCAATTAACCACTTAAAAGCTGAAAGTGGAGCTACATGTAGTTCAAGTGGTACAGCACCAGACTAAGCATAAAATCTCAGGGACAGCATCCAGGCCCTAAGTTCAAGCTCCTGGACCAGCACACCTACACAAAAAAAAGAAACTGATTTTCTCCTGCTTGCATAACCAAATTCAAATAATGCTAAGGCATATTGTGGAATATGTAATAAAAATGTTACTGAATAGCTTGAGAAGTTTGTGTAAATTCCATAGTACTGAGCAGTAAAAGGAGGATGCAGTCAATACCATTAAGGGACAAGGCTAGCTGGAAAAATGAAGTTCATTAATAGCAATGCATTTAATTTAAAAATATTTATGAAGCAAAAACAACCTTTGCTCAGTGGTAATACTGAATGTTATGCTAATGTTAAAAAAAAGGAAGCGGGCCAGGAAGGTGGCTCAGTGGTAGAGCGCTTGCCTTGCATACCTGAGGCCCTGGGTTCAATTCCTCAGCACCACATAAGCAAAAAGCCGGAAGTGGCGCTGTGGCTCAAGTGGTAGAGCACTAGCCTTGAGCTGAAGAGCTGAGGGATAGCGCCCAGGCCCAGAGTTCAGGCCCCACGACCGGACCCCAAAAAAAAAAAAAAAAAAAAAGGAAGCAACAAACACAAAGCATTGACAAAGTATTTAACTATAATCACTGGTTACATTTACCGAAAAAATTATGTAATAATTAATGTTACAGTTTTGACTGAGAATTGTAGTATGGAAAGTAGATTCTAAATCCTGGCTGTAATGTTAACAAGTTTATTTTTTATTTTTTGGGTCCGGTCGTGGGGCCTGGACTCTGCCTGGGCGCTGTCCCTCAGCTCTTCAGCTCAAGACTAGTGCTCTACCCCTTGAGCCACAGCGCCACTTCCGGCTTTTTTCTTTTTGCTTATGTGGTGCTGAGGAATCGAACCCAGGGCCTCAGGCATGCAAGGCAAGCGCTCTACCACTGAGCCATCTTCCCAGCCCCTGTTAACAAGTTTATATGAAATCTATTCATACTTTTTTTTTTCAAAGTCTAAGTTTGCTTTAACAATGATTTTTATTATCCACAGCTGCTTTTACCTCAAATTATTGATTACTCAGTAATTAAGTGTGTTTCACTTCTGAGCCCAACAACAATGAGTAATAACATATTAACAGTCTTTTTCTAACCTCTTCTACCAGATGATCTTGTTCTTTTTGGAATGGATCACTATTTTTGGCTGGTAGAGATTGTTCAGATGGACTATTATCTGTATTTTTTACAATGTCTGATACAGAGGAGACTTCCAATTCAAATTCTGGTACATTCTTAGAAAGAGTTTCATTTTTCTCTTTGGGAGTTCTCATTTTTATATCCTGAAGAAAAAGAAACATGTAATGTTAAAATCTTAATAATCATAACTGATCTTGAAACTTCCTTCACTAGCAGGACACAGGTAAAAAGTACTTTTTTTAATTGGAACAATATTTTATTATTTAGACCAAGCTTACTTCAAACTCAAAATCCCCCTTCCTCAACCTCTTGAGCAATGGGATTTCAGTCAGAAACACACACCCAGCAAAAAGTTTATTACTATTATTAATAATTACATGTTCACTAGAGGAATAAAGCAATTCCAATACTCCCACTTAGCAAAAGAAAATTAAGGTAAGGATAATATAAAATGTATAAATAGTCGGAAATATGAAAATAAAACAAGTTTAACTAAGCTGTTAATTAGAAAATTAATAATATGATTTAGTTTAGCCAGAATTAAGTGAAAAGTGTTTTAGACTATACCTTTGTACTACTTCTATCTGGTGATGAAATGGGTTGCAACAGGAAAGAGGCAGTACTAAAAGGAAAAATGACAACAATTCAAGTTATAAGAAGGAAAATTTCCATTCACCCAATGTATCTGAATAGTGTAAATAAATTGTCTGCCCCGTATCTGTCCGTTCCGATTTCACTCAATTCGTCCCGGTCATCGAAAGGCAGCTTATTCTAGGGAGGCATGGTGGCAATTAGAGCAATATTCCAGCCCAATTTGTGTATCAGCCTCCCAATTATAAACATTTTACTTGGTATAGATTTAAGTCAACAGTATTTCTTAAAGAGTATAAAGTTTGATGAGCACCCAAATACTTGAATACAACTTAAACAACAACTAAAACTACATGATTACAATGTCCTCAGGGTCCAGATCATAGAATTTCATCATTGAACAGAGGCTTTAAAATTATTCTGGCCAGGTATGATGGTATACTTCAGGGATCAGAACCTTGAGGTTAGACTTTGTGTCCCCAGATATCACCTTCAGGAACTTCCTTTCACTGCGTACACCCACTTAGCAAAATACTAAGTAGCCCCAATGGTTGCAATCCCTGTTTACAGAAAGGAAGGAGAGAAACAGATGGCAGCAACCTGGCTTCAATGAAGCAGAACTCAAGATTGCTTGTAGAAATTCCAGCAAAGCCTGCTTCCTTGAAGGAGAACATGAGGTCTTCCATTACATACATGAAGCAGGAAAAGCCCTCTTGGGTTGAGCCCAGGGAGTGCAACTAAAAGAAGCTCAGAAGATAATGTGACTCTCACCTGATGCCCTCCCTTGGCTTTGTGGCCCAGCCCATGTCTGGCCAAGTGGTGCCACCTTCTATTACCTACCCTTTGGATGGGCTAAGCAAGAACATTACTAGCCTTGCAACTCTAATCCCATATTCATTACTGCAACATCTTGGCATCTGACCCAATACTTAATTCACACCTATCCAGCCAGCCACTGTAGTTCATTAGCCTCAGTGGTTGAGTGGCCTCTTTCCACAGTTCTATCCTGAAGAGCTTGCCATACCCTAGGAGCATCACTATACAGCTGCAATCAGGAGCCAGGTTACAGAAAGTGTCTGGGAATCCAACTGCGGCAAGTACTTCTGGACCTCACCCAAAGAGAAACCCCAACCTCCAGGAAATAGAGACACAGTAAGTCAGTATCCTGTAACAGCTATTGGAATGGGAACCCCATATCAGTCACTTCAGTCTTTGAGACCTCTGACAGGCCAAGCAGGCCACAGAAGACTGGATCCCTGAACCCTGGCCTTGAGGCAGTGCCCATGAGGCCCATTTAGACCACCCAAATCTCCTACACCAACCAAACCCTTCCTTCAAGTCCACGTGGGTTTGTGCCAGGCTTAGGGACAAACCGCTCAAATGCAAAAAGCCCTATGTATCATTCCAATTGTTTCTATGGCTCCTCAGAGCTCCCCACCATGAGGCTCCAGCCTATTCCTGCTTCTGCCCTTGCTGAACTTATCCCTTTCCTTATCCTGTATATTATTGCTGGTCCATTTATGAGACTGAATACCAACACCATTTTAATCTTCAAAAAACATATTTAACCTTTAATAAAGTTTCAAAAAAAATTATCAAAAAGCCCTCAAACAGAGCCAACAAGTCTATGGACCAATACCACTAAGAAACCACCACTAGATAGGAGTGATAAAGTTCTCCTTTCTCAAATACTATTCCCAGGCACTAATACAGTACTTAATAATGCAATACAGCTGACAGAGTGAACAAATGTAAAGTCACTTTGAAGATGAGATTTCTATAAGTGACAATTATTTTTATTTAAATATCATTTTGTGGAGCTTTCTAACGGTGAATATCACAATCAAGACAACTTTATAGCAGCCACTGCTCAATCTACTCCTTATACACTTGCCATGGTTAGATTGAGGACAGTGAAATCCTAGCACTGTAACAAGATTAAAAATCAAAAGACAGCCAGGTGCCAGTGGCTCACATCTGTAATCCTAGCTAAGGAGGCTGAGATCTGAGGATCTCAGTTCAAAGCCAGCCCAGGCAGGAAAGTCCGTAAAACTCTTATTTCCAATAAACCACCAGAAAACCGGAAGTGGCGCTGTAGCTCAAGTGGTAGCGCTAGCCTTGAGCTAGCCTGAGGGACAGTGCTCAGGCCCAGAGTTCAAGCCTCATAACTGATCAAAAAAAAAAAAAAAAATCAAAAGACAAAATGTTGATACTATTGTGGGAATTTATCCAAATAAGAGAGCACTTCCAAAAGAGAATGAAAGTTAACATGTTTTTCACAGAAGTAAAAGCCTGAGGCAAAACTACAACTCTATTTATAAGTGTTATAAGCTGGGGTGCTGGTGGCTCACACCTGTAATTCTAATTACTCAAGAGGCTGAGATCTGAGGATTGGGGTTCAAAACCAGCCTAAGCAAGAAAGTCTGTGAGATTCTAATCTTCAATTAACCACCAGAAAATCAGAAGTAGAGCTTGAGCAAAAGAAATAGAACAGTGCCCTGAGTTAAGCCCCACAACTGGGGGGGGAAAAAGGAATAACTACTATGTTAAAAAGCCATAATTAGAGGAAAATAGTTAATTTACTATAACTGAATATACACATGCAAAAGAGCTAAGCTTTGATTAGAACTATTTTTATATAAGACAAAATCTAGAAAGAAAAAAAATCTTGAGAAGTGGATTAGAAAAGGGATCAGCCAATGTGGAAGACTGATGAGTTCAAGGCCAATATAACGAAATTCTGAGTGAGTCAAAAAGAGAAAAGGAGAGAAAAAGACTGAAACTTGAGAGAGAAAATCTGACAAGTAATTTGCTAAAAATGATAGCCAATGTTTCATCTTTACTACTGTCAAAACATACTTACAGTTAAAATAGAAAAAATTATAAAGATAAGAGATTAGAATTTGATTCCTATCAGTAAGGACACTTAGGTATCATATATGAAAGCGCATACTGCCCTATCTTTGAAATTCAGTAAAGGAGAAATGTAAAGATTAAAAGTCAAAAAGTCCCAAAAGGCCCCAGAATAGTTTCAAAACAGTTTACATATTTAAGAAGGCAAAATTTTCCAATCTCCCCTTATGTAATTTCCATAAAATCCAATATTTAGATAAAAAATAATAGTGGAAAATATCTCATTAATTATAAATGGTAATACTTTTCCCAATATGTGGGTCTGTATTAGAAAAATAGTGTTTATAGCCGGGCACCAGTGGTTTACGCCTATAATCCTAGCTACTCCAGGAGGTTGAGATCTGAGGATCTCGGTTCAAAGCCAGCCCAGGCAGGAAAGTCTGTGAAACTCTTATCTCCAATAAACCACCAGAAAACTGGAAGTAGTGCTGTAGCTCAATTGGTACAGTGCTAGCCTTGAGCTGAAGTGCTGAGGGACAGCACTCAGGCCCAGAGTTCAAGCCCCATGACCAACAAAAAAAAAAAAAAAAGAAAGAAAAAGAAAAATAGTGTCTAGTTAATTATGACCTATTCTAACTGATAGGAGTTTGGAAACTGACAAGGGACTAAATTAATACAAGATATCAATGTGTTGGGCTGGGAATGTGCTCAGTGGTAGAATACTTGCCTCGCACGCATGAGGCCTTGGCTTCAATTCCACAGCACGACATAAGCAGAAAAAGCTGGAAGTGGCCCTGTGGCTTAAGTGGTAGAGCTGAAGAGCTTGAGCTGAAGAGCTCAGGGACGGCGCCCAGGCCTAGAGTTCAAGCCCCATGACTGACAAAAAAAAAAATTATCAATGTGAAAACCAAACTTACTTTACCTATTATGGCCTAGATCACACACAGCTCCCAGGGATTCAATGTCACCATTTTCTTGTTTATGTTGCTTATGTGTATCTGAAGTAGAAAACAATTGTTTTTAGTTATGTTCACACTTTCTAATATTCAAGGATCTCTTAGAATTCTAATTTTATTTTCCCAAAGCTAGGGTTCAAAACATGTTTTTCCTCATGCTAGGCAAGGACTCTACCACTGAGCTATATCCTGTTGTCTGAAATAACTTATAAAAAGAAGAACAAAAAAAAAAGAATATAAACATTATTAACAAAAGATAATTTCCAAGTGTTAAGGTCAAATGATAAGAAAGAAAATATCCACTAATAGACCTTTATAAGAAAAGACTGCTGATTAAAGCAGTAATAAAATTTTCCCAACAAGTGGGGTGCTGGTGGCTCATACCTGTAATCCTAGCTACTCAGGAGGCTAAGATCTGAGGATCTCGGTTCAAAGCCAGCCCAGGAAGGAAAGTCCATGAGACTCTTATCTCCAATTAACCACCAGAAAACCGGAGTGGCACTGTGGCTCAAGTGATAGAACACTCACCTCTAACTGAAGAGCTCAGAGAGAGCAGCCAGGCCCAGAGTTTCAAGCCCCAATACCAATGGGGGGGAAAAAAAAAATTCCCAACAACAGTAATGGAAGGGTGACACTGATGGGAATACATTTGTACTTGTGTAGAAATGTCATAAAGTCCCCCTGGTACAACTGATATATACTAAAATAATAATAATAATAACAGATAAATATAAACTTAAATCTCTCAACAAATAATAGCCTGGGACTGAATTCTAGAAGACCATTAAAGAAGAACTAACACCAAGGCTCTTCAAACTATTCCTCAAAATATATAGTGGGGCCAGGCGTCATGGCTTCTGCCTATAATACTAACTACACAGGAGGTTGAGATCTGAGGATTACAGTTCAAAGCCAGACCAGGCAATAAAGCCCGTCATACTCTTTTTTTTTTTTTTTTTTGGGGGGGGGGGGGGGGGGGATCTGGTCATGGTGCCTGAACTCTGGGCCTGGGCGCTGTCCCTCAGTTCTTCAGCTCAAGGCTAGTGCTCTACCGCTTGAGCCACAGCGCCACTTCTGGCTTTTTTCTTTTTGCTTATGTGATGCTGAGGAATCAAACCCAGGGCCTCATGCATGCAAGGCAACCGCTCTACCACTGAGCCACCTTCCCAGCCCCAAGTCTGTCATACTCTTATCTCCAATAAACCACCAGAAAAACCAGAAGTGGAGCTGTAGCTCAAGCTGCTGAAGAGCTGAGTGACAGGGCGCAGGCCCAGAGTTTCAAGCCCCAAGAATGACAAAAAATAAGTAAATAAATAAATATAGCACAGAAGAATTCAACAAAAAAGAAAACTACAGGCCAAGTTCCCTAATAAACACAGGCTGAGCCACAAAAAGTTTTCAGAAAAATTTTTTTAACTAAAACATAAAATGACTGTTATATGTATAAGGCTATATTTGAGTTCCCAAAAATTAACTTAATGCTGGGCACAATAGCTCATATATAGAATCCTAGCTACTCAGGAAGCTGAGATCTGTGGATGATGGTTTGAAGACAGCCTGGGCATGAAAAGTCTTTAAGACTCTTATCTCCAATTAACCACTAAAAAAAGTCTGAAGTTAAGCTATGTCTCAAATGATTCTGAAAAAGTGGAGGGACAGTGCCCAGGCCCTGAGTTTAAGCCTCCCACCCCCCACTCCCCACACACATTTACACAAGAAACCTAACCGACTATAATTTTTCAGTGTTATTTAACTATGTTTAAGTATACAGATCACAAGCCAGGCGCCGGTGGCTCACACCATTAATCCTAGCTACTCAGGAGGCTGAGATCTGAGGATCGCAGTTCAAAGCCAGCCCAGGCAGGAAAGTCCATGAAACTCTTATCTCCAATAAACCACTAGAAAACTGCAAGTGGTGCTGTGGCTCAAGCGGTAGAGCGCTCGCCTTGAGCTGAAAGAATGTAGGGACAGTGCCCAAGCCCAAAGTTTAAGCCCATGACATACCAAAAAAAAAAAAAAAAAAAAAGTATACAGATCACGTAATTAGCACATAAGCCAACAAAATTGCAACTGTATTACTTAGCTTACTTTAGAGCAGCATATTTGCGTATAATCCTATCACTGAATTATATGTGCCACTACTATACTAATAATGGGAGAAAGAATTAAAACATGAAGGCTCTGCCAGCAAGGAGTCTGTCTATGATAATGATAAGTAAAGCCAGACACAAAAGGCCTCATTTTATATGCATGACTTAATTTATATGAAGTAGCCAAAACAGGCAAATTCAGAACCAGAAAGTGTATTACAGTATGCAAGAGACAAGGGGAGTAGAAAAGGAGGAATGATTACTCCATGGATAAGGGGCCCCTTTTAGATGATTATGTTCTGAACTAAAAATTGGTGAGGATTACATAACATTTTACTAAATGCCATTGTGCTTTCCACTTTGCGATGACTAAAATGGTAAAAGTATGTTATGTACATGTCACTATATAACCGAGTAAAAGGGACAAAAAATATAAAGAACTATGGTAATAATGAAAAATGACAGTAGCAAGGTTCAAAAGAGAAAATGATTAAAAAAAAAAAAAAAAAAAAAACAACCAACCTGGAAGTAAAGCAGGGTACTGAGACAGAATACTCTTTTCATACACTTCCTCTGAGACAGGATCAAATGAAAGGGGAGACATGGGTGGTAGGAGATTCACAGCCTTAAAATAGAATGAAGCATTTAATAATTATAGTAACAACAATACTAGTGAATCTATGACTAGGTATTTATTCTGTCTATTAAAAATTTATCAAATACATATCTTGTAACTACTTTCAAATTTTAAAATATTCTTTTTTTTGGGTCCAGTCGTGGGGCCTGAACTCTGGGCCTGGGCGCTGTCCCTCAGCTCTTCAGCTCAAGGTTAGCGCTCCTCCACTTGAGCCACAGCGCCACTTCCAGCTTTTTTCTTTTTGCTTATGTGTTGCTGAGGAATCGAACCCAGGGCCTCAGGCATGCAAGGCAAGCGCTCTACCACTGAGCCACCTTCCCAGACCAAATTTTTAAATATTCTAAGCAAAAGAGTTACAGCCAGGTGCTGGTGGCTCATGCCTGTAACCGTAGCTACTTAGTAGGCTGAGATCTGAGGATCACAATTCGAAGACAGCTGGGCAGATAAGTCCCCATAAGACTCCTATCTCTAATTAACCCCTCAAAACTGGAAGTGGAGGTATCAAAGTGGTAGAGCAAAAAAGCTCAAGAACAATACCTAGGTCCTGAGTTCAAGCCCCCATAACCAAGAAAAACAAAAAGTTGCTTTATTTTCCAAGTATGTCTCAAACATTGAAATAGCTTATATCAAGGGTAAATCTCATTTTCTAATATAGCCATCTGAATTTTAAGATATTAACTATAAATGACAATAATAGCTTATTAAAAATTCTTCTCTGTACTTAGAAAAATTACAGAAACTAAAGCATTTGAACTTTAGACCCAAGATTTAAAAAAACGTAAGTATATATGCTTATGAATACATATATGTGTGTATGTGTATAATTTCTAGGTTACTTTTAACATAAGTCAACTTTGACAAAATTAAACTACTCTCCATAAGACACATCAACATTACTTACTGGAGTGCAACCTTTAATTAGACTGAAAGGAGATAGGCCAAGGCTTTCTTCCCATTTCTTATGCCATTCTCTTTGCTTTTCAGTAATAGAATGCCTTATATCTGTGAGGTCTTCCTTTATTTTATACCTATGACAGCATAAAAAGTAACTTTATTCAAAAGAAAAATATGTAGTAAAATATAAGAAAACAATATACTAAGGAAGTGGAAGAAAATCAAATTGAGAATTCAATGAGCAAACTGTATATAAATTGAATAAAATCTCACAAATAATTATTATGAACATAAAATACCTCTTCTCCTGTTAAAACCAGAGGACTCAGGATCTTGCATTTGCTAGACAGACTATCTATCACTTATGTCATACTCCTAGCCTAAAATTACTTACTTTTCATTAATTTTTTTTTTTGCTGTACTGTAGAATACTTGGTAAACAGGTGCTCTATTTGAGCCAAGTCTCTAGCCCTGATTTTTAAAACATAAAGCTGCCGGGCGCTGGTGGCTCACGCCTGTAATCCTAGCTACTCAGGAGGCTGAGATCTGAGGATCGCGGTTCAAAGCCAGCCCAGGCAGGAGAGACCATGAGACTCCTATCTCCAATAAACCACCAGAAAACCGGACCGGAAGTGGCACTGTAGCTCAAGTGGTAGAACGCTCGCCTTGAGCTGAAGAGCTGAGGGACAGCGCCCAGGCCCAGAGTTCAGGCCCCACGGCCGACAAAAATAAATAAATAAATAAATTAAAACATAAAGCTTTTCGTAGCTCTAAGGTATCAGAGTCCTATTTTTATTCTTTGTTGTCTACTACTAACTCCCAGTCTTTCTAATCAAATGGAAAACTTTTATTTATTTATTTTTGGCCAGTCCTAGGGCTTGAACTCGGGGCCTGGGCACTGTACCTGAGCTTCTTTTGCTCAAGGCTAACATTCTACCACTTGAGCCACAGTGCCACTTCTGCCATTTTCTATTTATGTGATACTGAAAAATTGAACCCAGGGCTTCCTACACACTAGGCAAGCACTCTACCATATGCCACATTCCCAAACCTGAAAAACTTCCTTGAGACTCAATTTCTATTATTATTTTTTTTGGGGGGGTCCGGTCATGGAGCCTGAACTCTGGGCCTGGGCGCTGTCCCTCAGCTCTTCAGCTCAAGGCTAGCGCTCTACCACTTGAGCCACAGCGCCACTTCCGGCTTTTTTCTTTTTGCTTATGTGGTGCTGAGGAATCGAACCCAGGGCCTCAGGCATGTAAGGCAAGCGCTCTACCACTGAGCCACCTTCCCAGCCCTCAATTTCTATTATTAAACACAACAAAAGTTAAGTATATACATAATTTATTACAAATAAAAAAACCTTGTCCTTTCTATCTAACATGTATCTCTAGGAGTTGATTATATAAACCTTTAAAGTACTAAGAAAACTATCCTACTCTTTCCTAGTGAAATAAAGGGAGTTCTTTCTAGTGTACCTCATTTGCTTCAGATCTGACAATCTTTCCCTCTGGAATTTGGTCTCTTTTTCAAGGTAGTGAAGGTCTATTGTCAATCTTTCTTGATCAGCCTGATGACGTTCATAATTCATTATTTTCAAAACTTCATTTAACAACTGAATAACAGTTAAGAGGTTCAATTTTCCAGCCTCATAAACATTTCCTATGTGCAGCTAAAGATAAAGGGGCAAAGGGAAGTAGAGAATTATAGCTTCTTATGACAGAAAACTGTTACATAAATATGCTTTTTACTCTGATACTCTTCCCTTGGGGAATAAAAAAAAAAAATCAAATACCAACTAAAACATAAAATTACACAAATAATTTAAATTCACTGAAGAATTACTATGCCCTGTGACTTTTTTATATCATGCAAAATATTGAAAACTAGAAGAAATATAAACGGATGAAAAGAAAAACCAGGACTGAGTAGAAGTTAGGTCTGGTGGCCAACACCTATAATCCCACTACTAGCTAGACAAAGGAGGACTATAAATTCAAGGCTAGCTTGGGCTATATAGTAAGACCCTACCTTAAAAAAAATTGAGTAGAAAGAATAAGTTTGGAAAAAGAGCATGAATTAGTTTTTTAACAAAAGTTGGAAACCAATGACTCCTAATGGATATCTAAGGACAAATTTATTGTCCTACACTTTTTAGCATATTGTCAATATTTTTTAATTATAAATTTCATGTAAAAACAAAAACATTTATGGTAATTTTCTCCAAAGACTTCATCACTTCCTACCTTCTCCATATTATTACACATAATTCTTATTGTTATTTAGGACATATATACATTGTAGAAATGTTAAGCTTATACATCGTGCTTTTTATGTACTCTAAAATTGATGTCATGTTACCTATTAAAGCAACATGAGAGTCACAACATTTAATTTTTGTAACTTCACACTAGAATCAGTATCATGTTATGGTAGGTACTATAAACAATGCTGCCAAAAAAAAAAGCTAACTAGATGGCAATGTCTTATATACATATATAAGATAAATGGAGTTTGGGTGACTTGCTATACTAGAAATATAGAAGACTAGTAATATTCTGTACAGGAAGCTGTAAGCTATGAAATAGTAAGAAAATATAGATACATTTCTAATGAAGAAAAGCAAACTGGGAATGAAAGGAACCATAGAGAACTCTTGCATTTCAAGCTAAGTAGAGAAAAAGAAACCAGTGGGAAAAACTGAAATCAGCAGTATGGAAACACAGTAGAGATGGATATCACAAAGCTACAGTAAGACTTTAAATAAATAAGGTAAGTAAAACTGTAAAAGCACACTTAATAAAACCAAGATACAAAAAATTAGAGGAAAAAAATTAGAGGAAGGAGACTTTGAAAAAAGATTTTTAGAGAGGATGGCTTTAGCAACAGGAGATCATAGCTATTCTCTTTAAACATGCATAAACAACTAGTATAGAACATCTTCCTAAGTAAGTTTATACTTCCTACACATATGATATAGTGTGACCAAGTACAAGAGCTAATCACACCTTTAACAATAACCTCCTTCATGAAGATTTTTCTAGATATATTTATAAATTTTGAAAGAAAAAGAAAAACATTTGGAGAAAAACAATATATATTAATTGTATGCATTTTTTAGCATTTTCCCAAAAGCTTTAATAATATCAAATGCTTACCTGACCCATTTGTTTCTCAATTTTGTCAAGTAAAAGCCTTGGAATATTAAGAACAACATCAGTTCCATCTAAAGCATAATGATTGACAAGACCAAGAACTGAACTAACAACTTCTCTTTCTTTTTCTAAAAGTATGAGTGTTTCATTCACTAAAGTCCACAAAGACTGAACCTTTGAAAAGAGACAAACAAAATATTAAAAAGTCCATACAGAATCTGTACATATGTTAAAGAAATAAATGTAACCATCCAAGTAGTACAATGCTTGCCTAGCAAGTACACGGCCCTGCCTTTCACCCCAGACCCACCAGGATGAGGAGGGGAGGAAAGAGAAACATAACAATAAATATCTGCTTGCACTAAGCAACAGGCTGATTTCCAGTGAGAAATTTTTTTAAGTAATTGTACTTTAATACTTTAGAAGTACCAAAACTACTTCTAAAGGGGTTTAGAAACTGAAGAAATTTTTTTTTTCCTGGTCCTGGGGCTTGAATTCCGGGCCTGGACACTGTCCTTCAGCCTCTTTGTGCTCAAGGCTAGCACTCTGCCACTTGAGCTACAATGCCACTTTTAGCTTTAGCTGAGTAATTTATTGGAGAAAAGAGTCTCAGATTTTTCTTCCCAGGCTGGCTTTAAAACATGATCCTCAGCCTCCTGAGTAGCTAAGATTACAGATATCAGTCACCAGTGCACAGCTGAAGAATTTTTTAAGAGAATCTAGCTCGCTATAATTTATAATATTCAGACAAACACTAAGATACAATTAGCAATTCCTGTATTCTGACATGCTTTCAATGTAATAGAGATTTTAAGGAGAAATAATAAAAGATTTCAAAGAGAAAAAAACTACTATATATATATCTCATTCAGAAGAGTTAAAATATAAATGAGTTTTGGGGAGTTTTATTTGGGGAGAAGGGGTAGTAGGGCTTGAATTCAGGGCCTGGGTACTGTTCTTAAGCAAGCTTTTTTGCTCAAGGCTGCACTTCACCACTTGAGCCACAGCTACAATTTTCCAAGTTAACTGGAGATAAAAGTCTCACAGACTTTCCTGCACAGGCCTGGCTTTGAACTGTGATCCTAAGGGGAGAAAAGAGGGAAAGAAAGGGAGAGGAGGAAAGGGGAGCAAACAGGGAGGAAGGGAATTCTTAAGCATGTATTAATATTAACATATTTTCACTAAAATTCATATAAGCATATTCACAGTAGGATACTCATCAAAGAGTTAAACTAGAGAAGTTTAAATAATTTATTATGTTGCATGGTAACCAATTTTTTTTTTTAAATAAGCTTTTTTATTTTTTCTGTCAGTCCTGGGGCTTGAACTCTTGTACTGTCCCTCAGCTCTTCAGCTCAAGGCTAGTGCTCTATCACTTGACCCATAGCACCATTTTCGGCTTTTTCTACTTATGTGGTGCTGAGGAATCAAACCCAGGGCCTCATGCATGCAAGGCAAGCACTCTACCACTGAGCCACCTTCCCAGTCCTACTAATTATTAATAATACACATTTCAAAATTGTTAAAGTAGATCTTTAGCATTCTTAAAAAACAATAACTAGGTGAAGACATATGCTAATTAGCTTGACTGTATCTTTCTATAATGTTTAGAGCACAACACTGCACACCATAAATATGTAGTTATGTCTTATTTTAAAAATTTTTAATAGTATTCAGAGAACTTCTATGTATAAACTGGAATTAACAGTCAAAAAGAACATCCTGGCACCAGGGGCTCATGCCTGCAATCCTAGTTACTCAGGAGGCCAAGATCTGAGGATCTAGGTTTGAAGTCAGCTGGGGCAAGAAAGTCCCCAAGACTCTTATCTCCAATTAATCACAGAAAAGGCCAGAAGTGGTGCTGTGGCTCAAGTGGTAGAGCACTAGCCTTAAGCAAAAGGATTGGAGGGGCAGTGCTTAGGCCCAGAGTTCAAGCCCCAGGACTGGGGGAGGGGAGGGGAGGGAGGGGGAACCTTAAAAAACTGGAAACAGGGCTGGGAAGGTGGTTCAGTGGTAGAGCATGAGGCCCTGGGTTCAATTCCTCAGCACCACATAAGCAAAAAGAAAATAGCCGGAAGTGGCGCTGTGGCTCAAGTGGAGGAGCACTATCCTTGAGCTGAAGAGCTGAGGGAGCCCAGAGTTCAGGCTCCACAACTGGACCCAAAAAAAAAAAATGTTGCAAAGCAAGATAAAGCTGTTCTCCAAAGGAAGATTCATTGTCTAGCAACTGGTGATCTCAAGATAATGTTTCCTGATATTTCTACAATCATTCGTGATCTGGTTCTTATTCTTCTTGTCAGAAATTTTCTTGTTAATGGATTAGTCTGATCCAGGGAAAATGAATACTAGTCACTTTCAGAGGAAAATGATGTGGAAAATAGTTTATTATATCAATCTATTATATTTCTAATCAATAATATTCTATTTAATAATAGTAATATAAAATTAAAAGCATAAGAAAGTGGTTTTGCCTTATTTTCTTCATTGCTGACGCCCTACTTTTATCTAGAAGATACTTGATACATAGCAGGTGATCAATGAACACTCACTGAATGACTGAACATTTTCTGAAGATGGCACTCACCTTTCCATTTCTAAGGTGCCTGGGAAGCCATAGTAATACCCAAAGCTGCTCAGAACTACAGAATCACAAAAGGGCTTGAGAGATTTCATCCAAACAAAAAGAAAACTTAAGAAAATACTTTTATCCCACACATCAAAGCCAACCTCTGGTGGGAAAAGGAGAGATAAAGAGTAATAGAGGGGGTGATTTTGATCAAAGTACATTCTATACATGCATGGGAATATCACAGTAAAATTCCTCTATGTAGATAATATCACTTAATAAAAACTTTAAAAGCCAATCTCTAGAGGTTGACATTTGCCAGATTCCTTCCTCCTGTCAAGTCAGCCTCAATTTGACTCCTCATTTTTCTTCAATATTTTCCATCTTCCTTCAGTTAATGTATTCTTTTTAGTTAATACCACATATGAGGTAACAGTCAGCAGATCTTTCTTATTAGAGGATTTTAAATTAATCATATTTTTAAACTATTATACATATACTTACATTTATCAGCCATATACATGCCATATACATAATAAGTTCAAGGAAAAAAAAAAAAAAGAACAACACTACAAAAGAAATGGGCAAGTCAGGCACCGCCAGGCACTCACACCTATAATCCTAGCTACTCAGGAGGCTTAGATCTGAGAATTGCAGTTCAAAGCCACCCCAAACAGGAAAGTCTATGAGAGACTCTTATCTCCAATAAACTACTCAGAAAAAGCTGGAAATAGAACTGTGGCACAAGTGGTAGACTGCTAACCTTGAGCACAAAAAAGGGGGGGAGGGGCAATAAAATATTTCATTGTTTTATATAGCATAATTTTAATTCAATAAAGAAATCAATCATTTACTTGAGTGAGCTGTAAAAAAATTAAAAAATAAAAAAAAAAAAGATTCCAACTGCTGGGCACATAAACACACCTACAGTTTCAGCTACTCAAGCAGCTGAGGCCAGAGGATCACTTAAACCCAGAAGTTGAGGCTAGCCAGTCTGGGCAACATTGAGAGATTCTGTATTTCAGAAGAAAAGACACTAGCCAGATATGGTGACATACCTGTAAGACACCTACAAATTGAGTCAAATACACCATCTAAGGCAAATTTTGTCTCATATATAATTTAAAAGTTATCTTATGTAGTTGCCTGTGACTCATGTCTGTAATCTGAGCTATTTAGGAGGCTAAGATCGGAGGACTGCCAGCCTAAACTAAAAACGTCCTCGAAATTCTTATCTCCAATTAACCAGCAAAAAGCCAGAACTAGAAACATAGCTCAAGTGGTAGATTTACCAGTTGCAAACAAAAAAGCTGGGTGAGATTGAAAGAGCTTGAGTTCAAGCCTCATACTGGCAAAGAAATAAAAAAACACATAAAAAATTAAAAAGCTGGGCTGGGAAGTTGGCTCAGTGGTAGAGCGCTTGCCTTGCATGCTCGAGGCCTTGGGTTCTATTCCTCAGCACCACATAAGAAAAAAGCCGGAAGTGGCGCTGTGGCTCAAGTGGTAGAGTGCTAGCCTTGAGCTGAAGAGCCGAGGGACAGCACCCAGGCCCTGAGTTCAGGCCCCACGTCCAGACCCAAAAAAAAAAAAAAAAAAAAAAAATTAAAAAGCTTACCTTTTGAATTTTCTCATGTATATTAATTTGGTCATCACAGGGTTCCATTCTAGTAAAAACAAAATAATGTAATTAGTCATAAGAAAATCACATAGCAATTTAGCATCCAAAAAGTTAACTGATTTGTAAACCCACAAACTCACAATCATTTCAATTAAAAATAATGATAAGGACTGGGTGCCCATGGCTCACGCCTGCAATGCTCGCTACTCAGGAGGCTCAGATCTGAGGATCACAATTCAGAGCCAGCCCAGGCAGTGAAGTCGGTGAGACTCTTATCTCCAAAATAACCACCAGAAAACCAGAAGTGGCACTGTGGCTCAAGTGCTGGAGTGCTCAACTTGAGCTGAAGAGCTCAGGGACAGTGCCCAGACCCAGAGTTCAAGCCCCAAGATTAGCAAAATAATAACAGTAATAATAAACAGTAATAATTTTGTAGTAGCAGAACAACTAGACTAGAAATCAGAGCCATGCTCTAGTCCTACCATCATCTAGCTATGTTTTAATAAATGTTTGTATGAGGGGCCACAGTGCCAGTTCCAGCTTTTTCTGCTTTTGTGGTGCTGAGGAATCAATCCCAGGGCCTCATGCATGCAAGGCAAGCACTCTACCACTGAGCCACTTTCCCAGCCCATGAATAAGCATTGTTGCCTCCTCCTTTGTTTCCCCTTACCATCTCTTCCCATCTCCCCCTTCCTCCCCCACCCCCCCAAAACTCACTCACTTTTTCATTTGGTTTTGAAGACCCATGCATTCTGATCTCAAATTTCGCACTTGCTTAACTGCCAGTCTGTAAGAAAACACAGAAATTCCATTACAATTAACTAGTATAACCCATCTTGTTATTTCCCTTTCCTTATCTTTGCTCAAGGCCTCTAAGAACACCTAAGGCCAGCTAGAGGACATTTGAAGAGAATATCTATCATACAGGGTACGACTCAGGTTGATCATGACTATTAGCCTAATATTTGCTCAGACATTTTCCCTCTTTGGTCCAGGTACTAGGAGATTGAACTCAGGGCCTGGATGTGGTCCCAGACTTTGTTTCATCGAACATACCTAAGGGGTAAATTTGATTGTCATTTTATTGTCAAGCACCATTTCAGTTGTAACTTCAAAGAATTTTGTAGCTTTATGACAGGTGACAAGTAATTTTAAAAAGATCTTACTGTGATGGTTAAAACTATATAAAGTTAGACACAATCTATTCTTTGAGAGGAAAAACCATGTCTGCCAAGTTTAATGCTCTGGCTCCAGTACTAAACAATATTTGGCACATAAAATTCCCAAGCCAGAAGCCAATGCCTCAGGCCTGTAATCCTAGACTCAAGAAAGTGAGATCTGAGTATCAAGGTTCAAAACCAGCCAGGGCAAAAAAAAAAGTTTTAAGAGACTCTCATCTCCAATTAACCACAAAAAAGCTGGAAGTGGAAGTGTGGCTCAAGTGTTAGAGAGTGTGTGCCATGAATGAAAAAGCTAAATGGCAGTACCCAAGACCTGAAATACCCAAGTACCCAAGTATGTCAAGCCCCAGTAGTGACAAGAAGAAAAAAAAAAATCTCAAAATAAAATAATTAATATAAGAATCTAAATATAAACTGGTTAAAGTATTAAGTACCTACTTGAAGTAATATGTACATACATAATGAAATATCTATTCAAACTATTAAATTAAAAATTAAGAGCCAGACAATGCAATACAATAATTTACAGAATGAAATATCAAGACCAAAACAAGATGAAAACAATTACAGGTTACAGCTCAGAAATATATTTTCTCAGGGACACTGGTAGCTTATGCCTATAATCCTAGCTACTCAATAAACTAAGATCCAGAAGATCTTGAGTAGAGCCACCACCACAGCTTTGCCAGGGAGTGCTTTGTGGGCTACAAGCTGAGCTGAGTGAGATTTCAGAAGTCATTGTGTGCTCTGTATCCACAGAGCACTTGACAGAGGGAGAAGTGTCTTAAGAATCAGACAGGGGGGGCTGGGAAGGTGGCTCAGTGGTGGAGCACTTGCCTTGCATGCATGAGGCCCTGGGTTCGATTCCTCAACACCACATAAGCAAAAAGAAAAAAGCTGGAAGTGGTGCTATGGCTCAAGTGGTAGAGCGCTAGCCTTGAGCTGAGGGACAACGCCCAGGCCCAAAGTTCAGGCTCCACGACCCAACCCAAAAAAAAAAAGAATCAGACAGGGATTATGTAAAATGGGTACTGTATGCATGGTGACTGGTGAATATATCTCTTAATGTATTGGAAAATTTCCATTTTATTCAAGAAATCTGTTCTATGTTTCAAGACTTGATTAAAAAGGACGTTTTTATAATTTTTAAAAAAAGCAGAGCTAGAAGCATGACTCAAGTCATAAACTAATAGTCGAGCAAGCAAATCAAGTGAGTGAAAAGGCTCTGAATTCAAACCCTAGTACAGCAGATAGATAGATAGATAGATAGATAGATAGATAGATAGATAGATAGATAGATAGATAGGACGGATAGGTAGGTGGACAGACAGACAGATATCAGTAAAGAGAGGAAGACAAGGGAGAGCAGAAAAAGCACAGGCCCTGAGTTCAAAGCTCAGTACTGCTAATTCATAACCTGCAATATGGAATTGTAAATTCTTGGTACTACTACTTAATTTTTTTACCAAAAAGAAAGAAAGGGAGGGAGGAGATGTGAGATGGGAAGAAAGTGGAAAGGAGGGAAGATCTTTACATTGCTAACAACTTGGACTTATATAATACCTGAAGTTTCAAAATACATAGTATATTCAAAAGTTAACTGGCTTTAAAATGCAAAGATAGCAGCAAGGTTTTGTAGCAGATACAGATTATCTATACTAAAGTCACACTGATGACACATGTGCAGAAAAAAAGGAATTGTTTTCAAATCATCAAAATATTACTTACTGTGCATTTTCTTGATACTTTTGGATAATGTAATCTTGTCTTTGCAAAATTTGTAAAAATCTGTTACGTGCTACATGGTATCTGGCAAGGCACTTGTGCATGTCATGTTGCTTTACTTTAAAGTTTTCAGTACAATAAAGAGAAGAATCTACATAGGAAATAAGACCACAGAAAAGACTTACTAGGTAGAAATATGAAAAAAATGTTTTAACTGCTGTAGTGGCCTACACCTACTCAAAGGCTGAAGCAAGAACATTTAAGCCCAGCAAGAACACTTGAAGCCAGACTACGCACTATCCTACCACTAAAAAAATTTAATTTTAAACAATTAACACTGTATAATAACATCTTAAAAGCTAGAAAGCCACATATTTAAAAATATCAAACAAATGTTATTAAAAGCAAGATGAAGCAATTTAAAGGCTATATAGAGTTCTTTAAATACATTTAAAGTTTAAAAAGTGGAGTTCTAGGGCTGGGAAGGTGGCTCAGTGGTAGAGCGTTTGCCTTGCATGCCTGAGGCCCTAGGTTCAATTCCTCAGCACCACATAAGCAAAAAGAAAAAAAGCCGGAAGTGGCGCTGTGGCTCAGGTGGTAGAGCGCTAGCCTTGAGCGGAAGAGCTGAGGGATAGTACCCAGGCCCAGAGTTCAGGCCCCATGACCGGACCCAAAAAAAAAAAAAAAGTGGAGTTCTAATTAAAAACATTCAGAGCTATCAGTGGCACTATAATCCTATTTACTCAGGAGGCTGAGATACAGAGGATTACCCAAGGTCAGCCTAGGCAGAAAATAGCATCACCAAAATAACCAGCAAAAAGCTGGGCTAAAAGTCTAATTCAAATAGTAGAACACCAGCCAGACAAGCAAGCCAAGAAAGCACAAGGCCCTCAGTTCAAATCCAAATAACAGAAAAAAAAAAATCTGTACAAAGTAATTCACTTGCCCCCCCTCCCTCACTCTTTTGGGAGCAATGTGTGACCTAGGTGCTATCCCTGAGCTTTTTTGTTCAAAACTAACCTGCTTCCACATAACTCACAGCTCCTCTTCCAGCTCTTTGGTGGTTAACTGAAGGTAAGAGTATCATAGACTTTCCTTCCTTGTTCTGCTTTCGAACCCCAATGCTCAGATCTTAGCCTCCTGAGTAGCTAAGATTACAGGCATGAGCCCACCAGCACCCAACTCAATAAAACCTCTTTGTACTACACACACACACACACACACACACACACACACACACACACACACACACACACACAATATGAACAAAAGACAGACAAAAAAATGATAAAATTAAAAATAAGAACTGCCAGCCAAGGTAGTCCAGTCCTATAATCCCAGCACTAAGGAGACTGAAACTGGAACATGATGAATTCAAGACAACCTGGATTAAATATCAAAACTATCTCAAAAAAAAAGGTGTGTGTGGAGGGAAGTATATGCATATTTGCTCATAGCATCACATTGTTGGTTCTAGAAAAGGAAACAAAATAGGTGTAGACCAGAGCAGAAATTAGACTTCTCTTTTGATTTTGGAAATGAGGATATATAATGTGGTCAAAATAAACAAAATGTAAAAATGTTTTAAAAAAAAACACTAAAAGGAAAAAGAAATAAGCCAAATAGCAATGTTTGTCTCATAAAATTGGTAGGCAAGGTTTAATGCTTCAGCTTTTCTTATTCCCTCCTTTTTTTTTTTTTTTTTTTTTGTTGGTCGTGGGGCTTGAACTCTGGGCCTGAGCACTGTCACTCAGCTCTTCAGCTCAAGGCGAGCGCTCTACCACTTGAGCTACAGCGCCACTTCCGGTTTTCTAGTGGTTTATTGGAGATATGAGTCTCATGGTCTTTCCTGCCGGGGCTGGCTTCGAACTACAATCCTCAGATCTCAGCCTCCTGAGTAGCTAGGATTACAGGCGTGAGCCACCGGCCCCCGTCTCCCTCCCATGTTTTATGAGCAAAAACAAACATAGCTCCATAATTAATTACAAATAGTGATCTTTGAAGCATTAGCTTTTAAAATTAATTTTTCTTGCCAAATAATTCAGTTCTTTCTAATAAGTAAATTATAAAATAAGTCAAATCCCTTGGATCAGGAAATCCCAACGTAACACCTATAAACAAACTAAATTTCACATATATTGAACACATTTAACATCTTTCAATGGACTGGGAATGTGGTTTAGTGGTATAGTACTTGCCTAGCATGCAGGAAGGCATGGGGTTGATTCCTCAGTACTACATAAACAGAGGGCTGGGAAGGTGGCTCAGTGGTAGAGCGCTTGCCTTGCATGCCTGAGGCCCTGGGTTCGATTCCTCAGCACCACATAAGCAAAAAGAAAAAAGACGGAAGTGGTGCTATGGCTCAAGTGGTAGAGTGCTTGCCTTGAGCTGAAGAGCTGAGGGACAGCGCCCAGGCCCAGAGTTCAGGCCCCACAACCGGACCCCCCCCCCCAAAAAAAAATATATATATATATAAATAAAAACAAAAATAAATAAAAAAGTACTACATAAACAGAAAAAGCCAGAAGTGGTACTGTATTTCAAGTGGTAGAGTACGCCTTGAGCAAAAGAAACTCAGGAACAGTGGCTAGGCCCTGAGTTTAAGCCCCAGGACTGGCAAAAAAATAAATAAATAAAATAATAATAATAGTAACATTGTTGGTCAATTCTAACTCTCTGGCCTAATTTGGTCTAATGGTATTTTTGAGCACAAAATGGTAGAACTCATTTCTACATTTATTCAGAGTTGCAAAAAAGAAACAAAGTTGAATTTGTGACAGGGACTCTATGTGGTCCATACTTATATGGTTAAATATTTACTGTCTGGCCTTTCTATGGAAATTGTATCCCAACCCCAATATTAGAACATAATAAAATAGAATATACAGTAACAAGTTCATTATGGGAAGATTTCAAACCACACTTTCAGTAGAATATTAACTTTTTTGAGATAAATTACATTTTAACTCAATATGCTTTACATTTTAAAATTAGGTGAAAAAATATAATTTAAGAATTTAAACAAAATACTTTCCGACACCAAGGTTAACTTACTTTTAGAATGGGTTTCAATATATTTTATTGCAACAAATCTTGCAAAATGATACATCAGATGAATAAATTTAGGACCACCAGGATAAAGAAACAGTGAGCCAACCACTTGAGGAAAGCTACCTCCACATTCTGCCTACGGAGAAAAAGGATAAAATAATTTAAAGACCTTAGCAACAATAATTCTGATATTTATCTCACACTTTTTTAAAGAGTATATCAGTGGAGGTCACACGAGTCCATCCCTGGAAGACAGTGATAGCTAGATACCCACTCGAAGCACAGTGGCTTGGGTATACACAATTCTATCAGAGTGACAAATGGTCAGAGAAGATGAAACCTCAGCAGGCCTACTATGCTCCTCATATCATCCCATCATTTAAAACATAATAATGATCAAGATCACTGTTTGAGAAGCTGCAAAACAGTACTTGAGTCTATATGACCTTCACCCAACCTCACCCAATGAAGACAGCTTTAATAACTGTCCTACAATATAAAACCAAGACATTAAAAGCTGTATAAGAATGTAAACTAGCCGGGTGCTGGTGGCTCATGCCTGTAATCCTAGCTACTCAGGAGGCTGAGATCTGAAGATCACAGTTCAAAGCCAGGACAGGAAAGTCCTTGAGAATTTTTTTTTTTGGTCAGTAGTGGGGCTTGAACTCTGGGCCTGGGCACTGTCCCTCAGCTCTTCAGCTCAAGGTTAGCACTCTACCACTAGAGCCACAGAGCCACTTCTGGCTTTTTCTGCTTATGTGGTGCTGAGGAATCAAACCCAGGGCCTCATGCATGCAAGGCAAGCATTCTACCACTGAGCCACTTTCCCAGCCCCCTTGAGACTCTTATCTCCAATAAACTACTAGAAAACCAGAAGTGGCGCTGTGGCTCAAGTGGTAGAGCACTCGCCTTGAGCTAAAGAGCACAGGGATAGCGCCCAAGCCCAGAGTTCAAACTCCATGACCAACCAAAAAACAAAAAAAAAGTGTAAACTAAATTATAGACATCATTTTATACACTTTTTATACATTTTATACACTTTTCTTGGGGGGGGATGCCAATCCTGGGGCTTGAACTCAAGAACTGGGTACTATCTCTGAGCTTCTTTGGCTCAAAGCTAGCACTCTACCCACTTGAGTCACAGAGCCACTTTCAGCTATTTCTTAGTAGTTTCTTGAAGAGTCTCACAGACTTTCCTGCCTAGACTGGCTTCAAACCATGATTCTTGGATCTCCGCCTCTTGAATAGCTAGGATAACAAGCATGAGCCACTGGTGCCTGGATGCATTCCCAGCTTTAATGTCATCTTTTATTTGTTTTGGGTGTGTGTCTTTAACTATACTGGGGCTTTAACTAAGGGTATGAACACTATCCCTTAGCTTTTCCATTCAAAGCTGCCACTCGCTTAATATTAAAAAGAATACTTACAGAAATTTTTTTTAACCACTCACAGCAATGTTTACGAAATTCCGCATCACTTTTTTGGTCAAATGGAGGCCAGCAAAATCTGAAAAGCAAATACAAAAGCATTAGACTTAGAAAATACCCGCTCAAAAAAATAAAACTCAGAAAAAACTTAAAATCAAATTTATTTCCTATACTAGAAATAAAAGCAGAATGGATAAAAGATAATATTCTTAGATTTCAACCAAGAATATCCTCACCAATATGTAAGAAACTTGGTCTTTATTCTAAGTATCTACATATTTCCATTCAAATAACTATATATAGAGTTCAGTGCAAAAAATTAATAAATATATACCTTAAATTGGCAATATATATCTTAAATGAAAGAATGAACAGCTACTAAAATTACTGAAAAAGAGCTAAAAACAACACTCAAATATAAATAAGTTCATTAAGCTTGAGGGAGGGGGGAAGACTCACAAGACAGAAGCATAAAGGAATACACACAATGAATGAGCAGAGGAATGCATGAGAATATTACTCCTAAGATAATCCCTATCATTGTCTATGGGCACTACTGTTTTGTGGCTAAACAAAAAGACACAAAAATATAAGATAGAAAAGTTTTGTTTCAGCTTTGTTCAAAAATACTATCCAGGTACCAGTGACTCATTCCTATAATCCTAGCTACTCAGGAGGCCAAGAATTGTAGTTCTAAGCCAGCCCAGGCAGACAAATCCAGGAGACTCTTAACTCCAATTAACTAGGAAAAAACCAGAACTGGAGTCATGGCCCAAGTGGTAAAGTGTCAAGCATGAACAGAAAGTCAATCAAGAGTGAAATGTGGGGGCTGGGAAGGTGGCCCAGTGGTAGAGTGCTTGCCTTGCATGCATGAGGCCCTGGGTTCGATTTCTCAGCACCACATAAGCAGAAAAAGCCGGAAGTGGTGCTGTGGCTCAAGTGGTAGAGCACTAGCCTTGAGCTGAAGAGCTGAGGGACAGTGCCCAGGCCCAAAGTTCAGGCACCATGACTGGCAAAAAAAAAAAAAAGAATTGTACTCATTACCTAATTCATGTAACTATAACCTCTCTGTATATCAACTCTTACAATATTAAAAAAAAAAAAAAAAAAAAAACGGGGCCCCTGTGGCTCACACCTATAATCCTAGCTGCTCAGGAGGCTGAGATCTGAGGATTGAAGTTCAAAGCCAGCCGAGGCAGAAAAGTCCACGTGAGACTCATCTCCAATCAGCCACTCAAAAACCAGAAGTGGCACTGTGTCAAGTGGTAGAGTGCTAGCCCTGAGCACCAAGAGGCTCAGGGATGGCACCCAGACACTGAGTTCAAGCCCCATGACTGACCAAAGAAGAAAAAAAGAAAAACACAGAACAATAATGAGGGCTGGGAAGGTGGCTCAATGGTAGAACACTTGCCTTGCATGCATGAGGCCCTGGGTTCGATTCCCCAGCACCACATAAGCAAAAAGAAAAAAGAAAGTGGCACTATGGCTCAAGTGGTAGAGCGCTAGCCTTAAGCTTAAGAGCTGAGGGACAGCGCTCAGGCCCAGAGTCCAGGCTCCACCACCGGACCCAAAAAAAAAAAAGAGTGCATAAACAGATTGGTATCAGTTAACTGTTTTTATTAAATTAAGACCATGAATAGTGTTAACTGATTTTATGAAACAAGATCTGCATGACCTAGGAAGTATATACCAGTTTTAAGGTAAATACCCCCCAAAAATGAAATTCTTGCTCAGATATATATAAAGGTTAAACACTAAACCTCTAAAACTCACAACTAAATCTTACAATATCTACTCTAAACCAGAGCTAATGGTCAGAACTGAAATTATAGTTTAAGTTGACATAATCCATTTTCAAATTTGAGAATGACAAATAAAAGAAAATGAAGTAACTTTCCTTACTTGAAAACTCGTTTGGTAAGAGACTCGTCCAGTGTTTGAAATAAAAAATAAGAAACTATTTGAAAGGCATCACGGTTCAGCTTGTCAAACATGTTCCTAGTGGTTTAAAATGAAAAGGTAGGGAGAGAAAAACAAGAGGAAAATAACATTAAGCATTATCAAAAGTTGTTAAGAGTTTGACACAAATTATTAATTTTATTCTCTTCAAAAGTAAAGGTAAACCTGCTGGAAGGAATGGTCAAAATGAGGACAGCTTGGCTTTGGTCTAAGTCAGAGCCCAAGAGAAATCTAGGTATAGATGGTTTATGAAAAGCCAACACTGGGATAGGATAAATCATACAGGATTCTAAATATCCACACAAAATGAGACCAAAAGAGAATACTCTTAGCCAGGCGCCGGTGGCTCACGCCTGTAATCCTAGCTCCTCAGGAGGCTGAGATCTGAGGATCACGGTTCAAAGCCAGCCCCGGCAGGAAAGTCTGTGAGATTCTTATCTCCAATAAAAACCACTAGAAAACCGGAAGTGGCATGGTAGCTCAAGTGGTAGAGGGTAGAGCCCTCGCCTTGAGCTGAAAAGCTGAGGGACAGTGCCCAGGCCCAGAGTTCAAGCCCCACAACCAAAAGAGAAACAAGTAGGTAGAATGTCTACAGGCCCCTTTCATATTTATATAAAATTATATATACATATATATGTAAATTAACTCCATGATATAGAACAAAAGATTTGTTTTTCTGTTAATTTTTTGATGATTCTGTTTTCTTTATATATGGTGAATTCAAGTATATATATATTCCGTAAGGGAAATGTACAGAATTTGAGAGAAAAAGGAGCAGCAGTGGCGCTCACTGGACATGGATGAAAGTAAACTATACAACTTTATATATTTCATAGGTGGAGGCAGAAGGGAGGGACTCCGGGAGAGAGTGAGGGAACAGAAGAGACTGTACAAAATAATCTCATTATCCAATATCACTGTACTCATTATCTGATTCATTTAATTGTAATCCCTCTGTAAATCACATTCATAATCACAATAAATTTTTTTAAAGTAAAGGCAAATTCATTTTTCTTGTGCAAGATTATTTTTTAATCAATTTAGAAAAAGAAGGCTGGATATGTGGCTCAAGTGATAGAGAATATGCCCACCAAGCATAAGCCTTGAGTTTAAACCCTGCCCCACCACCAAAAAAAACAACATACAAGCTTTACTTTCTGATTCTAAAAATATACAACCAACAGAAACCTGGCACTACCATTCATGTAATGTGAACATTCTACAAAAAGGGAAGAAAAACATAAGTAGGTACAGAAAATTTTCCCTGTGTTAAATAGGCAGTATCAACCAATACTTACTGAATAATATTAACATAACATTCCTTATTTGCCAATCATTAACCTTTTATAAGGAATAACTCATCTACTATTCATTATTCTCACGTAAAGTATGTTATTTAACACAAATTATTTTATTTAATCTTAGTAACACTAGATAGTAGTTTGAATATTCTCATTATTTAGATTGGGAAATTTAAATTTAGGGTAGAAAATTTGCTTCCCACAAAAGCACACTAATTTTTAAGTATGTCACTGAAAAACACTGATTGTAAGTATGTCACCTGACCTGAGTGCCCTAGATATTTACTGCTGAATTGTACTCCCCAAACCATCTTTATCACATGCTAGCAAATTCATTAATTTTTAATATACCAATTTTTCTACTTATATCAAGTCAAAGTCAAAATACAACATGAAAAACACATAAGACTTTCTTAGCCTCATAAAAATGTCACACATGGGATAGGATCATAGGTCAAGTGGTAAAAACAGCTGCCTAGCAAGCACAGGCTCCTAGTTCTAACCCCTGTACCACCAAAAAAGAAAAGGAAAAAAGTCACACAGCTATATAAACTCAAGAGTTAATAGAGCCTGGTAGTATAGCTTACTGATAACACATACATGGCCTCACATACATGGCCTCACATACATGGCCTCACACACACACCTCAAAAAAATAAGTAAGAGTTAACAAGAAAGGCAAAGAATCAAATCAAGTAAATTTTAAAGTTAGCATTACTATCCTCTTGTTTGTGATCGCATGTCCTTAAAATGTTTTTATTCCTTGAGGAATCAAATGTTATTTTTTTGCATAATACTCTATTCTCTGTGGCACTTAATCGTAATTGGTAACAGACATTTGCTATAGTCTTATTCACCCACTAGACTAAAATACTATAAAGGAAAAAATTTCCTCCTTGACCACTGTATACCTATGTGTTAAATGGACAAATCAATCATTTCTCTCAATTCCCACTGTCAGCTTAACTTAGTTCAGGCAGCTTCCCCTCTCATCAATTCTCTGCAATTCAATCCTTATGATTTTTTTCAAAAACTCTCTTTTCAGGCAAATATATTAGACTAAGACTGTAAGGTCATTTTAAGTGTGTGTTGGTGTGTGTATGTGTGTATACATATATATGTGTGTGTATTATGTATGTATGTATATAATTGGTGGGGGAGTCCTGGGGCTTGAACTCGAGACCTAGGTGCTATCCCTGAGCCTCTCTGTGCTCAGGGCTAGCACTATACCACTGGAGCCACAGCACCACTTCCAGATTTTTTGAGTAGTTTATGTTTTTTTGATTTTTTTGGTTTTGTTTTGTCAGTCCTGGGGCTTGAATTCAGGGCCTGTGCTTCTTTTGCTCAAGGCTAGCACTCTACCACTTGAGCCAGAGTGCCACTTCCAGCTTTTGCTGTGTATGTGGTACTGAGGAATCGAACCCAGGGCTTCATGCATGGGAGGCAAGCACTCTACCACTAAGGCACATTCCCAGATCTTTTTTTGAGTATTTTATTGGAGATAAGAGTCTCACAGACTTCCCTGCCCAGGCTGGCTTCTGAAAACCGCCATCCTGGGATCCTCGGATCTCAGCTTCCTGTGTAGCTAGAATTACAGGCATGTATACTTAACTCTAAGAACATAAGTCACACAACTACATGTTCACACAAACTAAAAAAAAATCATTAAATGACAAGCCAAAAAGAAAAAGGTTGCAGTATAAGCAAAGCAAAAACATGTTCCGCAGGGCACCGGTGGCTCATGCCTGCAATCCTAGCTATTCAGGAGGCTGAGATCTGAGGACACAGTTCAAAGCCAGCCCAGGTAGCAAAGTCCAGAAAAACTCGCAAGTGGAGCTGTGGCTCAAGTGGTAGAGCGCTGGACATGAGCTAGGGACAGCACCCAAGCCGAGTGGGTGGGTGGATGGACAGATGGACACTCTCTAAATAAGACCCCAAGTTATCAGTTTGACAAGAACTGTACTCATCTTATTTATGTAACTGTAACCCGTCTGTGCATCACTTTTACAACACAGCAAATGTTTTAAAAGACCCAAACGGATAGAGATATTAACCATTATAGTTAAAAACCATATCAGAAGTGGCAGAAGGGAAGGGGTTTTCACTGTTCATTTTAATGCCCTGGTCTTTTTTTTTTTTTTTTTTTTGGCTAATTGTGGTGTAGTTTCGTTTCCTAATTCAAAAAAAAAAAAAACAAATAAAGATTACAAAGTTAGCCACCTTCAAAAGCTGCCTGGGGGGTCACACAGGCGTTGGCCCCGCCCGCCCCCCTCCCACTCCGGATCCGACCCCCGCCTCCCCCACCGCGGCAGGGTGACGCCGCCCCGGGCCCGCCGCCCCACGGCGCGCGGCCGGCACCCTTCAGAAACCGCCGGTGTCCGGCTCCGCCTCGGGCAGGCCGCAAATGGGACTTCTGGCAGCCCGCAAGCCCTCGGGCCTCGGGCGGGACGCCCCCCACCCCGCTCCACGCGGCCGCAGGCTCGAGCCCGGGGTCCCCCCCGGCGCCCCCGGCCCCGGCCCCCTTACACTCCGAGGTGCGTGTGCGACACCATCTTTCCGGAGGCAGCAGTGGCCAGGCCCGGATCAAAGCCCAGGGCCTGCAGGTACATCCAGAGGTGCCGCTTCTTGAAAGAAGTGGCGGGGCCCGAACTCATCCTCTCGGCAGGGGCTGGGACTTCGGAGAAAGCGAGCGCAGGCCGCCCGCCACGGCGAGGGCCGTCAAAGACCTCTCCTCCCTACAAGCGGCCTGGGGTCGTGGCGGCCCCTCCGGGGACACCGCCGGATGCTTGCTCGCCCGGTGCCATTACGCCTCAAACGATCCAAATATTTCGAGAAAGCGGAGTCTAAACGCCGAGACGCCTCAAGGAACCCAGCGGAAGCGGCGGCAAACAAGACTCCCGCGCTTCAGGAAGAGCGGTGTGCGCCTGCGCAGGCCTGAGAACTGTTTTTCCCGCCATGCAGTGCGCCGTTGTCCGTTGCTTCCGGTCATACCCTACGGTGTAAAACTACAAGGTCCATAGTGCACTGCGCGGCGCACTGCGCGGCCAGGAACTTTCCCTAGGGTTCGACGTTATTCTACCTACCGAGGCCCTACGACTTTGAAGTTCCCAATTCTTAACGTCTGCTGTTGCATTTTGTGCGCGTGAGTCAAGTCAGACAAAAGTTGTAGATGGAGTACAGTAGCCTGCTGTAGGGAGGTAAGTACTAGGTGTACGACCTTGAACGAGCCATCGGACTTCTGAACCTGTTGTAGCATTAGCAAAGTTTCTGCACGCTCAAATGCTGGATGTCCGTTCCATCATGTTCTACCTCAAATCTGGCACTTCTAAGCACCCTTGAAGCACTCTCCCGCGATGGCTATGCTCTTTTCCACACTCTTGTACAACAGAAGCGGGGTAGGTATCCTACTGTCTTCATGTTGACAAGTATGACAGTCATCGACTCCCTGCTTACTAAGACCATCAGTTCCTTTCAAGTTTGTGCTGCTGTTTCTGGCCAATGGAGTTCTCCGGATTTCCCTCAATTCTTAGATTGCACCAACTAAGGAAAGGATTCAGCAAGAGGAGAAAAATAGCCTGGAGTGATCCACAAAGCTGAATTACAGTACATTTCAAAGAGGTCAGGCAGGCAGTTGGATAGGGACTCAGAGTGGCAGCTGTCTGGGGATTAGGGTCCTAGTAACCAATCAGATAGTAGATATTGAGGCCCACCCAAAGGGTTTGACAACTGAGCAGTAGCTGCCAGGGTATGAGAAGTTTGAGCTTGTGAAAGAATAAGGGCAGGGGCTGGGAATGTGGCTTAGTGGTAGAGAAGCCCCTGGTTCAATTCCCCCGTACCACAAAAACTGAAAAAAAAACGGAAGTGGCGCTGTGGCTCAAGTGATAGAGTACTAGCCTTGAGCAAAAGAAGCTCAGAGATAGTGCCCAGGCCCTGAGTTCAATCCCCAGGACTAGACAAAAAGAAAAAGAAAAGAAACAAGGAAGAAAAGAAAGGAAGAAAGAAAAGGAAGGAAGGGAGAATGAGAAAGAGAGATAGATAGATGGATAGATTGGATCACATTAATGAAAAAAAGTATGTGCAATAATTTAAAAAATATAGTAAATTAGTTTGAGGCCTGAATAAATCTTCCTAATATTTTGTATTACTCCAGTAAAGAAAAACACAAAAAATGAAGCTACCCACCTTTTGTGTTATCTGAGATACAACATTGTAACTGCAGAAAATTGACTGTAAATTTTTAGCTACTATCAAAACAATTCTAACCTGCATGTTGGAAATGTGATTAAAATTAATAGAGGAGATGGAAAAAAGAGAGAGAGAGTAGAGGGAGGGAGAGAGGGAAAGGAGGGATGAGAGCAGTCACCTTTTTTCCTTCCTGAATTATCCTTGATATGGGGAGGGAACTCAGAAAGTAAGACCATTAGTTTAGTAACTGGTCCAGGTATGTACCATTGTTTTGTTTTGTTTGGTTTTCATGGATGTGGGCCATATGGACTCTTAGGAAATGAAATGGGGGAGGAGCACCTGTATTTCCTCTGCGTGTGGTCCTGTATTCTTAGATGCCTATGCTAACACTATCACCTGTCACTCTTCATGTGGAGGTCATTTATAAGATATCCAAATCATGCGGAGGATGTAGCTCATAGGAAAAGCACCTGCTTAACATGCATGAGGCACAGTTCTGTTTCCAGTCCTGGAGAGGAAAAAAAAATCTAAGCAAAGTGTGTGGCTCAGACCTATGTGGGAGTTGGAGGCAGAAGAATGTACAATTTGACTCAGTTCTCTGCTAAATTAGTAAAGCCCTACCTTGGAAACAAAATATATAACAAAAGGGCTGGAATGAAGCTCTACTAGCCCTGGGCTCATTCCCCAGGCCTGAAAACAAAACAAACAAACAAAAGACCCTCAGGATCTATGATCTTGTTCTAATAGTTAATTCTTAATCCCCTCCAACTTCGTTCCCAAAGTTTTTGGTGATAATGCACTTGACATTTTCAATGCCCTGGCTTCTCAGTTAACTGACTAATTCTCCAACAATTTTATCTCCCATTCCATCTCAGCCACCTACATTCTGGTACCTAAGCATAAACTTTTTCATTATCAACACCACCTTAAGCTGGAGTTCAGCCTCTATTCCTACCTTTCTAGCTCAGTCCTAAATCTTATTCTAGTTCTTAGATCATGACAATGTCTAATCCTTTTTGAAAGACCCCAGACTCACTGGGATGCTTTCTCCAACGGGAGGGCACCCCAAGAACCAAGACTTCAAGCCAGCAGCTGCAATAAGCAAGAGGAGTTTATTTGGCGTTTGTGCAAACGGGCTCTCTGTCCAGGGCAGACAGGAAGCCCCGAGCAGCTGTTACAGGCACTTTTAAAGACAAAAGCCACAGGATTAGCATAAGACCCCAGGTTCCCTAGGATTGGCTCAGTTTACTACACAGGGAAGTTTATAACACTCTTTGTAAAACAGTTGGCTCAGGGCAAGTCTAGGGCGAGCGGTCACCCTGGAGGGGAGTTTACATAGTTACAGGCTTGTGATTGATTAATATTTGGCCTAGTTTGCTGGGCTCACCCGATGGTCCTTATCTTGAGCCCCCTAAACCGAGAATTTTTACACAGGAATGCAGAGGAACATACTCTTTGTTCCTTATCTTGGGTCCCATTTGGCCACCTGGGGAATTTACTTGCTAGTTCTTTATTTACGACTACAGAGCTTGTCCCAGGGCCGACATCTAGGCTATGAAACTTTTTATTTATTTCCAGGGAGGGGAAGGGTCAGTGCTAGCGCAAGCAAGTTTACACAAGCAAAACCAGCAGTTAGCAATTGTAAAATGTAACTCTAATTTTTAATCTTTCACTTTTCTTTCTGTGATACCAGAAATTCCATCCCGAGGACTCAATGCTAAATTAGAAATAATGAGAGCAGAGTTTGAGAAAAAAGGAAGTAAAAGTTGATTCATTTTTCCAGGCAAATTAGGACTGCAATGAGCTACAGTCTCAAAAGCAGTAGTCTTAGCCAGGTGCCAGTAGCAAATGCCTGTAATCCTATCTACTCAGGAGACTGAAATCTGAGAATCTCAGTTCAAAGCTAGCCTAGGTAGGAAAAGTCCTTGAGACTCTTCCATTAACCACCAAAAAGGTAGAAGATGGAAGTGGAGCTAAAGATTAAGTGGTAGAGCAGTAGTCAAAAAAAATAATGTACGATAGATTGAATCTTGAAATTATGTTTAAATCACTGAATTCATGTGTGTGTGTGATAGATTGCTAGACTTTGTCAGAGAACCATGCAGACATCTGGGTACAGAGAAAAAAGAAAGGTTTATTGCTGGGAAAGGGGCCAACAAGACACCTTCTCACAAGGGAGAAGTGAGAAGAAGCACCAGCTATTGTCTGAGGTTACCTATATAACTTAGGAGGTATAGGAGGCGCTAGATGGGCCTAGGAGGCGGAGCCCCTGGTGTGGATGTGTGGGCCAGGGGCTTCATCATGGCAGATTAGGATTTATGGCTGCTGTCTAAATAGTAGATAAGGGTCCTGCAACTGCCCAGACCTGAAAGTTACTCTAAGGGGCTCTTGTTGCACTATATGGTGGGAGCTGCCCCAGAGAAGTGCCATCCCAAGGTAGAGAGCTTTGGAGGCTGATTATTTACTGCCTTTGCAAAATGGGCCTCTGTTTCCTAGGAAGGGAGCATGCTAAACTGTGGAGAGGGGAAGGAGTGTATTAAGCTTAAGGAAGAGAGTTCATTTCACTAACAGAGTGGGGGGGGAGGGTGTGGGTGTGGGTATGTGGGTTTGTGGGTGTGGGTGTGAGACCAAGATTCAGGGACCTAGTAACTCATTCGAATCATCATGAATTTTGAGTGACCCAAAATCTGGGCTTTGGGTCACATGATGACCTTTAGTTTGTTTATTTCCCAACATTTCAGGCTTTAATCTCCAGAGTTTTATCTCTTGCTGTCAGAATATCCCTTCTCTGGGCAAGGAATGTGGCTTAGTGGTAGAGTGCTTGCCTAGCACTCCTCAGTACCACATAAACAGAAAAAGCTAGAAAGTACACTATGGCTCAAGTGGCAGAGTGTTAGGCATGGGCAAAAGAAGCTCAGGGACAGTGCCCAGGCCCTGAATTCAAGCCCCAGGACTGGCAAAAAGAAAAAAGATTACTCCTTCACTCTTATCTCTTGCTGTCCAGATAATTCCTCACTCCCATATATAAAGAGTGACCTTGCCTGGAACTGAAAATATGTTCTTGAGTTTCCTCATATGGGAAAGTTGTGAGGAGAAAAGACAAAGTGAAAAATACACCAAGTTAAACTTTTGCTAAAATAATTGTATAAATAAAGCAAACTGGCAAAAAATAAAAAATAAAGCAGACTGACTAATAAAGTAATTTACTGAGTTAAAACTATCGTTGAATTATATTTGAGTGTGTTTCTATTGCATCTGTAATGTCTTTTACTCCTGTAATATTATGACTTAACTTAAATATATCATAAGCTTTCCAGCTTCTTCGTCTCTGTCAAATTTATTTTGACGAAACCTTGGGAAAACCTCAATTTCTATTCAATCAAGTTCCCTGCTTACTCCACCCCTGCGTTTAGCAGAAAAACACAATTAGGCTGTCTATTCTCACTCAAAATTCATGATGATTCAAATGAGTTATTAGGTCCCTGAATCTCGTTACTTTTCCCAAATCTCTCATTCTCTCTCTTCTCTTCTTTTCTTTTCTCTTCTCTTCTCCTTTCTCTCTCTCTCTCTCGCTCTCGCTCCCTCTCTCTCTCTCTCTCTCTCTCTCTCTCACACACACACACACACATTCATGAATTCAGTGATTTAAACATACCTTCAAGATGCAATCTTTTTTTTT